AGGAACCAAAATAGATACCTAGGGAAGAGTAAAAACTGGTTTACTATAGTTGGTCATTAATTCTCTCCAAATATAATTAATTTTAATTATTTTCCTGGTATCTTATATTTTTAAAATTTAATTACCTTCAGTCGTTTTCCCTTGCCTACACTTACATAGTCTCTCCTTGAACACAGCTAATCTACTACATTCATAATTTCTTCCAGTGAAAATGTCAACAGGTCCAACACCCGTTGTGCAAAAAACCACCTCTCATGGTGTGTTTTTATGTTGGGTTTTTGTATGTTTGTTGTTTTTTCATTTGTTTGCTTTGGGTGTTTGTTTTTTTTTAAACTCTGCTCTTAACTTAATTTGGCAGTCTTTATTTCTCTTATTGGAAGAAAAGGTGAATTGTCAGTACTTACTGAAGGAAGGAAGTCTCTTATGCACTAGAAACAGAAGAAATCCTAGCAGTTTTTCACACCATGTTTGATAGACCAATGGAACAAACATCCTAAAGGAGAAGGTGGTTTTATGTATATACTGTTGTTATATACATCAATTTCCAGTTTTGCCTGAGTGTTTTCTGGAAAGGAAGGATGGATTTGATCAAACATACTCTACCTGGCTAAAGACTATGTTATTTACCATGAGGTTTTATGCTGAAAACAGTAATAATCTAATGGTCCCTCCTGTCTTTCAGCATCCTTAATCTAATTGCCCTGCAGATGTTCACCGTTTATCTGGGCAGGAGAATACTTAAGAGTAGGACTGTTTGACAAATTTTAGCTACCTGTTTCCTGTATTTTCATGAATCTCTTGACTGTACTGGTGTCTTCTGAATTATTTTTGAACCTCTCATCCCTTTTTGTTTTTTATCTCTGTCAGATATGAAGGACTTTATTACCACAGGACACATTGTCAGTGGTACGGAACCTTTCTGTGGAAGGTTCAGCATTCACAGACCAAGCCAGCTGGTGAAAACTTCCCCATCAACTCTACCAAGATATGATCTCGCTGAATACACACATGTAAGTGACTGCTCTTGATAAGTAGATTGCACTGGGGAGTGCATATTCAGAGCCAAATCAGTGTTATGAAATCGTCTGATCTGTTTAGACTTCTAGATCCACAAAGATTCATGTCTTTGGACTATGCTTGTGGAAAGAGCAGAGAGTCTTTGGTTGACGGGTAGATAGTTAGAGATCCCTGAGGCATGGATAATCTTTAACACGTTTGGCTGATCTCTTCTTCTGGGGATGCAATGCCTGAGGAGGGAAAGGAAAAGGTGGGATGGTGTTGGGAAAAGATGGAAGATGCAGGAATGACCATTTCTTGACAAAGCAAAAAAAACCTTGTTGTTTGGGGATCCACTCTGGCTAACTTTTCTGCTCATCTTCTACATCTGCTTTTAACAGGAATAAGGTCTTGATCTCAAACCTGTCACCCTTTTGCTACCTAGGGGAAGGCAAATAGTGGAGTGTTGAAAGAAAGGAGGAGGGAGATGCCATCCCCAAAGGCTCCTGCAGTCCTCCCAGACTCCTTCCAGTTCCTCTTCACAGATCTCTTCCAGTCTTGTTTCTCCACCTGACACCAGTCCCAAACCTTGTACCCTGCAAATCAAGACCAACTCCTCCAGTCTCCTTTCATCTCTCCTAGATACTGGAAATCCCCATTGGTACTTCCCAGTTATGTTTTGCCCCAAAACCTCACTGAAGGTTAAAGGGTCAGTTTCAGGCTATATAGTGGCACACAGGTCACCTGGATGTCATGCACTGTCTTCTACAGGTGCTATTCAAGATGATGTGGTCTTTATTGCTGACCTTGAACAACACATTTCCCTACTAATGTTAAACTGGGATTGAAAGAATATAACACCTTCTACATACATTAGTTATAAATTACCTGTGGATTGATTTGTGAATTTTTTCCCCATTTTTTGCAGGTGTGTTTTGCACATAAAGGCCATATGAGGAATATCCTTCATATCTTGGTATCCTACACCAATTTCTCTTTATGTTTAGTGAAGAGGAACCTCACCTGCCTGTGGGATTTCAGTGAAACTGACTCTAAAAGGTATCCAGACACTTTGTTTCCAGAGATGACACTTTCCGTAGTAAGGTGTACTAAGAAAACTGGGTGAAGTTCTTATTTCTATAAGAACAAATGATAAGTTGGGGTAAGGTGGCACATTCTCTGCCCCTGCAAAGGCACTTCTGAAACATGCTTCTAGTCTTTTTGAAGACTTACTGAAGAAATCTGTGTCTTGTTATGGGCACCACTGTCTCACTATAGTAATGCACAGATGGAAAGTTTGTTATGTCCCTGGTAAGCACACCAGGCTTCTGAGGACATTAATTTCATTGTTTGTTTGTCAACAGTCAGTGGATTTTCTGCAGTAAGACAGAGATGAATTGAATTTTTTTTTCCAGAAAACTTATGAGGTCATTGGTACACAAAGCTTTAAAAGTTGGTATAGCCTTTGGCTGTTTTTATTTCACTTAGAATACTTGGGTGGAAAACATTTGGTGTTAGAAGTAAAGTTAGAGACAGGCAGACTTAAAAAATCAGGAGTCTCTGAAGAACTTCAGGAAGTGAAGTTGGCAACTTGAGTATCTGTGAGGTTATAAGAGGGATGTGTGTGTATGCCTGGAAGGGGAAGAGGAGACTGGGATTAAATTACTGCATGATGGAGAGAGCTGGGAATCTTGAGCAATCGTCTGATATTCCCAAGGGGCCTGATCTCTGAATTGACCTCTGTTGAGGTCACTGATGCTATTGTAGTGGTTTTGCCAAAAATAGAGCAACGGTAGTTATTCCCACATCCCACTCTTGTGATGCAGAGGAGGATACCTGAGCAGAAATCTAAAGCTTTATTTCTCACTATGGGGAACCCAACAGAGACACGTAGAGAGTGATCACAAGCCATTGGGCAAATGTCTTGTGTATGAGTAATAACGGCAGTACCTGATGTTACCTGGAAGCTTCACGAAGCGCCTCAAAAGACAGTTATTGCAGCTACCTCACAGCAAAGGAGAGTTTACACAAACTTGATGTCTTCCAGCTGGACGTTTACTTGCACTGACCTCTGGAAGGGGTGTGTGAATCACTCCATGCTTCTCCAGGACCTCCCTTCCAATTCCCCGGTGTTTGTGCATCAGATAGACTTGCTGAACCCTCTGCTGCAAAAGAAAACATCTGAGTCGTTTTACCTTGATGAAGTTATCATTGCAGACAGAGCTGTGACTGGTAAAGGAATTTGTTTTTTTTTTTTCTTTTCTGTTAAAGTCTTTCCAGGATACTCTATTAAAATCTTTAATGATGAGGCTGGTGGCAACTTTTTCAAAGGGGAAGATATATCACAACAGGCACTAACATAACTTTGTTTTCTTGAACTTATAGTTCTTGATGAGAACAATCAAGAAGGAATTGCCAAATATGAATATTCTTGGTTTATTTAAAAATATGTTTCTACAAATATGACTCTTGAATCTTCTTGCCCAGAAAAAAAACCCAAACCCAAAATACCCACCCCAAGAAGACCTGTTTCCAGCTATGAAATGAAAATAATCTAGGCATAGTGACAGCTGTTATCCTGGCTCTCATGAATGCTTGTGCTCTTTAAGTTTCTCAGAGGGATCCCAAACCACCTTGGCTAGATGGGAGGATAGTCGAAGCAGTATCTGTGGTGGGGTCTTCTCCCACTTACAATGTGTCCTGGACGGTGTCTGGCTGTGGTGCAAGTCTGCCTCTTCTCTCTCTAAGGTAGGGACAGTGAGTAAGTTGTCTCAAAACTGTGTAATACCTCTTGCAATTCACCCTGACGTTTCTGGAGCAGTTTGTCATCTAAGACAGGGCATGAGAGGCAGTGGATGATAAGACTGCAGCTTGGCAATCACTATGCTTTTGTTGGAGTCTTCTCTAGACATTTCAAATGGCACATGTTCAGAGTGTTTAGACTACTGTGTCCTGCACAGATGTGTCTACTCAGAAGATGGGCTGCAGTTCTAAATTAAGATACTTAATTTCACTCTCAGCACATGAATGTGTTGAGCTTTGCTTGCCATACAAGATCTTGAACATATATTGTAGACGTCTTAATGAAGTTGTCTGATTCTGATATTGA